AATGCAGCTCGGCAACAGCAAATAGTTCAGAGCGGGAACCGTGAAGCCAGAAGATTCATGACCATGTCTACTTCCTTGCACTTCGTCTTGATTTTGAACAGTAATTATAGCCTCATCAGACCAAAGAGATACAGGACTGTTTACAGACTACGGCAAACACTGTTTCTGTTATAGGAAATTTCACGACTGGCACGCACACACGCAGAGTAGTCCATAAGTATCCGGCACTGAAGGGGAAATAAACCTGCTTATACCGAACATCACTGCTATCGCGGTCTCAATTAGTAGTATAAGGTGCTGTAAAAGCACGGACTATAATAGCTGAAAGCAGCATGACATGTCAAAGTATGAGTGAGGTGACTCAGAGAGTGCAGAGCCGGGGAATCCCATTGCAACGAGCATAACCGCTTGGCCCTCTATGAGGCAGTATTCACCAAGGAGAATACAGCGGCAATCTCTCTGTTCTCCAACGGAAGGACCTCGATGACAGAGACATTCCGTTTTGAGCACACGTTACCAGCGAATATGTTGCCCATCGGTACCCTTTGTTTCCTATAACTACCAGTTCTGGTCGGCCTGATGCATAGAGATGCCCAAGGGTTCTCACTCAAGATGGAGATATCAACCCTTTCGTTCTGGCCTTATCCATCCGTAGAGTAATCCGGAAGGTCATGTTTGATTCTTCGCTCCCATTCTAGGGGCAGTATCTCCAGAACCACAAATTGTGCAATAAAACGAGATCTGCCTCCACATCTGGAAGCGGGGAACATGCGAGAACCGAATAAGGAAACCTAGGGGTCCTATCGACGCGCCTGAAAGTGCATATAATGTTCTGTTGTAGACAGACTGGCTTTCGAATCCTAACCCAGGAAGCTAATCTAGGGACGGTTACCAATCTAATCAGCTTATCATACATTGAAGCCAATACGCAAGCGCTCTTGTACGGATATTAATAATAAGGTTATAAAATTAGGCTTTCGGACTTAGGGTTCGGAAATCCGTCTCTTTTAAGTACAATATAGCATGCTGTTGCGGGCGGACCTGTATATCTGGATAGCGAACAAGAAATCCTACGGGGAGCGGGGGTCTGTGGGATGAAACTGCTTAAGGAGAAAGCCACTCTTCTGAACCATGTAAACATAGACTAGACAAGCCCCAATAAACCTTGCTTGAGAGTGCCAGTCACCGTTGCCTAGGAATGCTTGAGACCCAGGTTAACGAGACAAAGGAAAAACACCCAGCCGGCGCAATGCCGTCTCATTCGTCCACAGCAATGTCACATGGAGCCTGGTGCCTACCTAGGGTGTCACGCACTTTCTTGTCCTACGATGATCCGGGCTCTAGGAGTCATTCTGAGTACAGCTGAACTTGTATTCTGGTCGACGGTCTCTCTCTTGCCGAATTCGAAGGTAAAGCGCGGGCCCAATCAAGAAAACCTGATACAGAGTAATGAAATTAAGGTATATATCATATACGGTACATATATAGCCAATCGGAACGGATTCACTTGCAGTATGCCTTCATCTCTGGAAATGACGTAGGGGTATTCGATTCATTCTGCATCCAATCAAAGCGTGGTTGTCACGATCAAACGTCATGTCGCGTAGTACTGTATCTGCCTCGGTCGACTCCGGTCAGCAAGCCCACGCCTCGGCCGTTGTCCAATCCGAAGAGCTAGCCGGCCCAACATGCCTGCCAAGGCCCGTTCAGATCATAGTCGGCTTGACGTATCCCAGCCGTAGAGTGGTGAATAGTGCAAGAGAGACCCTTCAAGACGACCCGTCCTGTCACTGCGTAAGTAGAGGACCTCGCAATGACGAGGTGGCCTCCTAAAACCCTGGGCACAACGGGAATATGGGTATTCACGGGCCCAGTTGGTCGGGACTGGTAACCTATTCGACAGGACTACGTCCCGATCCTGGTTTCGTGGGGAGCTTTGCGATAGTGACCGGGGGTGGTCGGCCAAAGACGGTTGTCGCCAGGGCTCGGAGGTCGAATGTGGGACAAATTTGCCCAGCTGGCCACCCGGTGGGTCGGAACGGGCGGCAAATATCCAGCGCCGAATCTTGAAGCTAGCGACGGCTCTACGATCATGACCAGGTAGATTGGATTCGGGTGATTTCATGGAGTTGCTCGCTGGTGCACGAAACTCGCGGTCATTTCGATGATTTAATTCCACCCCACCGCCCATCAAGACTAGGACTGCCAAGTCGGCTTATCTTTGACCAGCGGCATGGTTGAGGCGGAAAGGCCAGGCTGGCCGTGACCAAGCATTCTATGGGCTGCGATGGTGCTGCAGCGCTTTGAAGTGTCCTATATGATTCGGAAAGCTGGATGACCTGCAGATCAGAGGTAGTGCAGGTGAAGCTGGTAAAAACATGGGGGTGATTTGGGGAGGGTGGGGAAATGAGTTTTACCGACTACTCATGCTCAAATTGCGTCAAATGCGTCAAATGGGTAAAACGCCATGAGAATCTGTAGGGGCATTGATATGGTCCCACATGGATGCGTGGGCGCATGTTGTCCGCCTTTGGGTCACGTCAGGATACGACCAGGTCAGTTTGTGAGTGCCTGAGGCCATCAACTTCTGGTGTTCGGGAAGGTCCGGGTTTACTGTATTTACAGGCAGGCCCTCGTTTCACAGAATCGTCACGGGATTTTCCTAACGTTCGCCGAATATGATGATAGATATTAGCGTATCTCAGGAAAGATCCACTCCGGATTGAGCCCTCCGAGTCCGGGGAGGTGGAGAACAGAAATCCCGAGCAAAATTGGCCAGGGAAGCAGATGTCCGCACCCCAAATACCCGAGACTGCGGCCCAACCATGTCTGACAATGCACCAGTATGAACTTTGGAACGCCCAACAATGGTCGCACATGGCAGCGTTGGATCCTATCCTTCTAGCCTTATATCTCTTCACGCCGAAAGCAGTATCAAAGCAAAAGGAATGTCAAGCAAGTATTTAAGATTCAAGTAACTGGAAAACTTTGAGCATAAATGGCCGGTTTCTATATGTAACTAAGAATCTTTGCCTTTGGTACTGCATCTCTCTGTTCATTTCCTATGTTTTCTATTCCTTGTTGTTGTGTATCTCCTCTATAGTATAAGGGGTACAATGAACGGGAACTATTTAGTGAACCTTGTGACAAATTACCATGCAGTACAAGAATGGTGCGATCACCGACCCCTGTGATGACAGCCTAGCAGGCCGCAACCGAAAGCTCCTTTCATCCACTGCCGCAGTGACATAGCTTGTGTGGTACGGTAGACGTTAGAAACGTACAGTGCTAATGATGCCCCGCCTTCCGCTGAGGCTTATGGTTGAGGCCCACAACACAATTCCACGCCATTTGCCAAGTAAAGTTGCTCTGAATCTTCTCAAATCATACAGATCAAAACCTATAGTGAATTGAAATTCCAACATGTCCTCTTCTACTCTTCAGTCTAACTATAAAGGAGCAAGCATCGATGGCGATGGAGATTTTCTTTGCAAGTGCGGATTCAAGATGTACAAATCGACAGTGAGTGACAAGAAAAGCCCATATTTTGGGAAGAAATGTTAGCCTACCTCCCATGAATTGAGCTGAAATAACTAATATATCGAAGATTTGGCATGCAGGCGAGGGAGGAAAAGCGCAGACCGGTGCCGGATTTTCATCTGGGACGAGGAACTCCCTCAGATAGAGCTTCCACTCTCTTCGTCTTCAGAACCTGCAACACCCAAAAGAACGTCAGATATCCGACAATATGGGATCCTCACGCCAGTTACTAGTTCAAGAAAAGTACATCCTGCCCTAGACAGGGCCAGTAGCGGGAACGAACCGAGCCAAATCACATTCTCAGCCCAGGCGAAGAAACGTTCACTATTTTCGACTTCCGGGCAAGTCCCCAAAAAACCGAGAATAGTGTGTACACCATCTCGGTCTCCTAGCCCTACGCCATCCAAATTTCTCGTTAATAGCAGCCCTGCATCTGGTCTTAATGATACATCCTTATCGTCAAGATCAGAAACCATGCATTTTATGAGGGGCGGATCGCGCAGATGGGAAGATTACGAGAAGAATTTATCAATGACACCTACCAAGCACAAATCCCACGTGAGGGATTTCAATCAGAAAGGTGGGAAAACAGAAGCGGAAAAGGGAGAAGATGAAGAAGATCTTCTTTCTGACTGGGATGATACCATCGTCTTAGAAGTGATACGGATTGCCAATAGTCCTATTTGAGGTAGTGCGTGACTGTGTCTCACAAGCATGATCCTTTTATAACCTTTCGCTAGTCTTATTGTTTGAACACCCTAGGCATGAGATAGATTGCTAGTACTTAGGAGAGGTGAGGGCGAGGATATTTTCGGCAAAATTTCAATTCGCCTCGAGAGGTTTATTTTGGTTCCTTCCGATATTGTTTAGTGTTACCAAATTGTACAAGTTTCAGGACATATGTTTCATGCTCCTAAACACGTAGGAGGCCGCGTTCAGGCCCGGCTTGGGCTAACTTTGGCCGTTACCAGTTTCGGATTGGGATTTACTCCATACGCTTTTTCGATTTGCTGACTTCATTGAGTGTGATCGGTGAAAAGCACCGCGGGCTTGGGTATCTGTAGCCCTTGATGCCCTTGAGGTCTACTTCCGGGGGAGGCGGAAAGAAGGCTTCCCTAATCAGCTCTAATTTCCTGGTTGCGTCCGTTCCCATTTGTCCGTCTGGTCGTTGGAGTGGTGGTATGAATGTCGCGCGTGGCTCTTTGTTCCAGGTTCATTTTGCCAGCTTCCACAGGCCATCGGAGGAGTTCGTCGCTTCCTTGATCCTTGCTCTGTGGTAGTCCCGTAGTGTCTTTCTGATGAGTCTTGCTTTATGGTTTCTCGCTCTACGGTATGCTTCCCAGGCTTCAGGTGTTCGTCTACGTTGGCACTGTCGCCTTAGTCGTCATGCGAGCTGCTGAGCCTCTTTACACTCTCTCGGCCATCCCGGGGTCGACTGTGGACTAATTCGTGATTTCGGCGTCGACCCTCGGACGGCCGTCAAAATAGCTGACACTATCCCTTTGGTGGCACTGTCGATGTCTTCTTCCGTTATCAGACCGGTTGTGGTGGGCATATGGCGGTTCAATGTCACGTAGAGCTTCTCTCTATCCGTGCGTTCCCAACTCCACCGTTCTGAGATTGTTCTGTTCCGATTTGGTTTGGCCAGTACAGTTTCCAAGGGGATGTGGTCAGAGTCGTGGTCTAGGCCGTCCCGTGGGCGGCATCGGATAAGGCTGTCTTGTAGGCTTGGAGTAGCCGGGGAAAGATCTATAGTCGTTTCCGTGTCCCTTAACCTGAACGTGGTCGTTCCTGGCTCATATAGGAGGCCCAGCTGATACTCTTCTATTATCTGGAGGGCCTCTTCCGCCTCAGGGTCTGGCGTTTGCACCCTGAGTCCTCCCCAATAGGGATGGTGCAGGTTGAAGTCTCCTACCACAATCTGTTCCGCGTCTTTCCACCGGTCTACCACCCTTTGTAGCGTTGTTATGGCGCTGTTAGTGGGATCGAGGCTTGGGACGGGGTTGTAGACGTTGTGAATGATGGTAGTCTCATGCGCACCCCAGTTCGCAGATCCGCCTCGGACCGAATAGCATCACGAGGTTTAACTCAAATCAGTTCTATACCCTAGGGATTCCCTACTATATGTGAAGTAACGGAAACTTTGCTGCAGCTGCTAAAAAGATGTTGCAGCCAAGGAGCCCGCGGGTCGTCATTCATAAAAATGGAAGAAGGTACTGGCATAACATCGATATGATCTCAGTATCTAGCTTCCTCAATTTCGGTGACAGTCCATTCGTTTCCCGACGAACTTGGGCCCTCGTGGCGCGCGAACTCGAAATCTCTGCGATGCCTCGGCAAAGTCCACACGTATCTGCATCTTAAAGTACTACTGTATTAAAGAGAATCCGGGGCTTTTGAGGTAGCTTGATATTGTTCGCACATTGTTATGATATTGACGGTCGCGCAGTCGATCGAGGTATGTATACGCAGGCATATCAGGTCCAGTTACCGCACAACGGGTCACTATATTTCTCTGGACGGGATAGCGAGTATAACAACCTTTCCTCTCCTGTTCCTGTCCATTGAGAATTGATTTCCTGGCACTATTACCAGTTCAGACATTATATGACGTCTGTCCATTACAATTCGTTGACGTGGGAGTTCTAGTACCCGTGGGTAGCTCTCTTGGCGCTTTGCTTCAATTCTAAGCGCCAGAAAGAAGGTAACCAGTTATGTATACCCGCGCGGTATTTACAACTCGATGCTGACGCTGTACCTGAGTTCGCACGTACAAAAAGCGATGGTGGATAGATTCGCCTAGTTTCGGAACGAAGAGGCCGAGGGCCACTAAATGCTATTGTCTATCAGGGACAGAATGAAAGAAGCGCTCGCTGTGAACTAATCCGATGGGTGCATGTACGCAGTTGAAAGATTCCAAATAATAAGTAGGAAATATGTTGAAAGGTAATCACAATCAAGGCATGATCCAACAAAGAGCTCCTTTCATCGGGCATTTGCTCTTTTTGTCCCAGACTATTTCTATCTGCGCATGTCGGTCGTGCCAGGCTTCACAATGTGATGGGCGCACATGTAGACTGAGGCGCTCAGCGATTCTATTCTCAGAGGAGAGCATTTGATAATTTGTGCCTAATTATTCGTACATTAACATTCGTACAGATGCAGTGGGACTATTTTGTAAGTGGTCATTTAGTCATGCGAGCAAGATGGTATAACCTGCTACTACTGTACAAGGAGCACCCCAGGGGGACGAGGCAACTGGTATGCCAAAGCATCCTGTAAGCATCTTTAGCTTTCTGCTCAAAGCAGATGTACGGCTCTAGGTTCAGGTGCCTTTGACTGGAAAAGGGTTCGCAATGAGCCGATGAGTTACTCACAAAGGGAGAAAAGGGTGTGTAAAAGAAACAAAAGGATAAGACCTAAAGATGTTCGATCTCATGGTTTGCGCATTCTTTGGTCGACATTTACAAGTCGCTTATCACCCGATTCACCACTGTGTTGGGCTGTGTCGTCTTCATCAGTAAAATGAAATACCCCGATACGGGAAAAGCTCGCAGTGATGCGAGATGCCTGGTAATTCGTATTGGCCGCGGGGGCGGGAGATGTGCGGTCGCACTTCGATAGCCGAGGAGACCGGAAGCAACAGGACTTCAGCTGTTATCGTGACAGCAGTCGTATGTCGAAAGCCAGAGAGCCCAGGTGAATTAGCCTGAGCAACCCTGCTTTTTGAGCTGTAAGGAGATGGTGATGGATTTTCATCTTCTCTGTTCGAGCAGATGCGAGATTCTTTTGCAACGAGATCTCAACAAGGATACGTATTCCCAACACCGCATAGAGGTGTCTGCCCACGTTGTCCTGATCACGAGATTCGTGTATCAATAATTTATCCGGCACCGAGGTCTCGTGGAGACATTTTGGGCATGGAGATTTGGCACAAAGGTCCACTACCCCTCCTGTACCCCGTCCTAGTGGGCATCATGGGTTTTCTGACCGATTACGGGCTTGAAAAAGTGATGAGAGTGTTGTTGGTACGATACCGTGTGTTTAAAGGCAATGTACGGAAAGTTTGCTAAATGAACTTCTCTTTCAGCTATGACCTGAATACCATTTAAGTCGTTCCTTGTTCGCAATGCCAGCAGACCCTTCCGCACCCCCTGTTGTGTTACGCATAGAAAATCCAAAATCGGCTACGCATCAGCAAAACCAAGCATGGTCTGAGGTTGCAAGTAAAGTTGGATCCGTGAAAGTTTCCAAGGGCACACCGGCCTCTCCTTATAGTCCATCCTTTACAGAAGAATCTGCCTGCTCGCGTCTTGTCCAGGAGATTCATTCTGATTATAAAAAGGCAAGAGCGCCCCTCTTCGACCTCCCCATAGTCTAACGTGGAATTTTGTTGCAAGCCAAAAACTTTCCCGATCGCCCTCAACAAATTTCTCAATGCAGACAGGGGGGGTTGGTTTTTTTCCCCGGAACAACACCTATCGGTACAGACTTTATGATAATTGACCCGCTGCTGGTGGAAGGAAACACACATGTTGGGGATATACACGTGGACATCAATCACTATTATATTGTCTTGAGGGAGTGTGACGTGGTCGTCCAGCCGGGAGGCAAGCTGGTAGCCTTGGCTATGTCGGATATCAAGTGATATATGATGCTATCATCCGGTGGATTCGACAACGTTGGGTCTCGTGGCGAATTCGTTGACGATCTGTGTTTTTGTATAAGACTGTATGCTACTGTTGCATTGGCGTCTCAGCAGTTTGCAATACATTGTGTGAGGATTGAGCGAAGTTGGTGTCTTCCACCAGTTGGCCACTCTCTTGGAAGTCAATGTCGCCATATCAAATGCTTGCATTAATTGCGACACGCTCATAATGACGTCACATCAAAGGACTGCATGAGTTGTGCTGCGTTGACAGCGTCCTGACTGAAGATTGAATGGGCCTTGGCTCTTCTGTCTATGGGAGCGGTAGAGTGTTCGAATCCCGTTTCCATGGTAGTTTGATCAGCAGAATGTAGGATCAATCGAGGTTTCAACGCAAGACAGACTATCACAAACCGTCAATCGCACTGGAGACTCGCAGCCCGGGGCAACTGTTGTCAGAGATTCGCGGCTTCTCTCGCTGATTCTTGACAGGGTGCGACCTGTGTTCTTTGTTACCCTGTTTGTATTCATGGACGAACTGGGGATCATCCAAATTGGCGCGAATTTGGTAAGCTGCAATCGAAAGCACTTGACTGCATCATCTATTATGTTGTTACCAGCCGTTTCTGAATCAGCATCGACGTTAAAATCAACGAATTCAAGGAAAAATCTGACGGTCTCGGCATCATCGCCTTTTGTGAGGTACCTGTCATACCCTTAGATTGTTAATGTTGAGTATGTCAGACAAATAGAGTGTAAGGCAGTACTTACACCATTCCAGCTGGTTTGGGCCGGACACGGCCTCGTGGAAGGTCGCCGGGTCGACTTGTCTTGCCGGTGCGGTATTCAATGCGCCTGCCGTGTACACCTTGCCTAGTGATTCCAGGAGACGCCGTGATGGCCTTCTTCTGCGACCAAAGATCGAATATCCAAGATCCGGTGTCAGGTCCATTCCTTGTTGGCTTGGATTGACCACTGGAGGTGTCTCCTCCTCACGCTCAGATGGCGTGTTCTCTTGCTCGTTCGACGGAGGTAATGGCGATGCAGGTGGTGTTGGCAGCCCGCTGGCTGAACTTGGCATTGATGGAAAGACAGGTGATGGAGGAGCGTTGTCCGGGAGGTCGTTGCCTGTTTCCCCCTCGATGAGTGGCACCACTGGGGTCCTCTCATCGAACTCGACATCACGGGAAAAGACTGTCTTTCCCGAATGTATCTCATAGAGCTTGTACTGGTTCGGTTCACAATAGCCAAGCAGTCGACACTCGGATGATCTCGGTCCGAGTTTTGCTCGATGCTCCTTTGGGATTAAGACCCATGCACGGGAGCCGATCCGTCGCAGATGCAAGAGCGAGGGCGGCTTCCCATATAGAATCTCAAACGGTGTCTTCTTCTGTAAGATCGATGCTGGAGCACGCAGCTTCAAGTAGACCACTGTGTCTACAAGCTCGATCCACCAGGAAGGAGGAAGGTTCGCATCGGACAGGAGCGTGTTGATCCGCTCCCGGATAGTGCGATTCGTGCGTTCCGCCAGTCCATTCTGCCCTTTGCAGTACGGCGGCGAGGTATCGAACTCAACGCCCTGGGATTCGAGGTGTGTTCCAATTGGCAGATATTCTCTCCCGTTATCGGCGAGGAATCTTCTGATCTGGGCGCCGAACTGTCGGTGCACCCAGGCCTCAAACTGTCGGAACTTCTGGAGCGCTTCATGCTTCCATCTCATGGCATAGGCCCACGAGCCACGAGAATAATCGTCAGTAAAGGTGATCACGTACCTGGAGCCATCTTTGGCAATCGGCATCTCCATGATGTCCGAATGGATCGATTCGAAGATTCTCGTCGAATGCAGACGTGGCCGTCTGGCGCGGGAGTTCCTCTTCTGATGCTGCTTACCCGACATGCACGCCGGACACTGCGGCGTTGCCAGCAGCTGCGCCTGCGTCAGCGGTCGGTACGGAGTGCCGGTCTGCCGGAGGACCACCCTCAAGTCGCCCCGGTTCAGATGTCCCATCCGAGCGTGCCACAACGCTTCGGAGGCCTGGTCCACTCCTGTGCACACATCTTCTTCGAGTATCACAGCTTCACCACCGAGTTCAGAGGTTGGCGCTGTACATGCTACGCCACTTGACTCCCGAAAATCGTCAACGTCCATGGCCACCGCCTGCGGTTCCAGGGAATCTGCATGGTCATGGGTCATCGGCGCCCTCGCCAGTTGGACTCGCTCTCGAGATCTCTTGCTCACATGGCACCGCAGGATCAGTAGATCCTCCTCCGCGTGGTAGGCGGTCCCCACGGTTCGTCCTCGGCGTTGCACAAAGACGTTCTGCGGGTGCGCCACCACCGAGTAGCGGTCTCGCAACAGCTTCGGCACGCTGATCAGGTTCATCCCGACGCGTGGCGCAAAGTACACGTTCTTCAACACCAGGGGCTGGTTGAACTTCCCCCGGAGCATGAGCTTCACCGTACCAATCCCTTCGGCTTCCACTGGATCGCCCGCCGTGTCCAACATCTCGCGGTGGGCCCGCAGACTACGGAAGCAGCTCCGGTCCCAGCAGATGTGGCTGGTGGCGGCCGAGTCCAGGATCCACCGGGGTTGCGGTGCGTGGGTATAAAGGGTCGTCACCCTCGCCCTCACGATATTGATCCTCGGTCTCTTGGAAGTCGGCGGACCCTGCCGATCTTCCAGCTGGCGTGATGGTATCATCTGCAAATTACTTCTTGGTGAGCCGGAAACACTCCTCTCAGCCTTCAGGGCATGGTCCCTGGACGGCTGAACTTCTCGCTGTTTCTTCCAGCACTGCGCGACCACATGGCCGCGCTTCTTACAATAGTTGCATTTCTTGGCAGTCTGCTGCACCGTATGGACGGACGGGCCAGATGCTGCCTGCAAGGGTGTTGGAGCTTCTTTTCTCCGAACGGTCTGCTCAGCATTAGACAGACGATTTCCGATCGTGGTCGGATTCACCGGATCCTTGTCATTTTGAATGGCATCCACAACTAGAATGTATTCCGGTCCAATCTGCGTCAGTAAGATCGCAATGTGTGTTCGATCGCCAATGGATCCGGGTACGATAGCATTCAATCGATGTACGAGCAACCGTACCCGATCGACAAATTCGCGGGCACTGCCGCAGCGCTCGCCAGTGGTTTCACGAAGCTGCGCAAATAACTCACAGAACGTGGCGAGCTCCATGCGCCGGTACCGTTCTTCAAGTTCATTCCAGAGGTCGCGAGACGTCTCAAGTCCCGCGACATGAATGCTAATGTGGGGGGACAGGTATCGGAAAATGGTGTGGTAGGCCTCAGCTTCGCGGCGCGACCATTCACGGTGGCGCTCGAACGCCTGGACCTCCACTTCGAGGCGCGCCTCAATGGCGCGCTGTCTCACCGCCCCAGCGAGGTGCGGTTCCACCAAGGGGTGGATGTCTGCCGTAATGGGCTTGGCGTA